ACACACACACACACACACACACACACACACACACACAAAGAAACCCCCCAAAATGCACAAATATACGCACACAAATACACTTTTGTCTTCAGAATGTGCTACCTAAAACTACAGATAATAAGTAAACGAATACAGCCAAACAAAACAGATGATAACTTGTTTGCAATCCCAACCAGTACATCATCTAACCCTAATTCACTTCATTCTACCTGTCCTGCTGTCCTGTACTTTTTTTTTTGTTTCGTTCCTCTTCTCCTTATCATTATTTTGATCATCCACATCCTTCCTCTCCCTCCATTACTCCGTCAAACCACTTTAAACAAAAGCGGAAACAATACGGAAACTAGACATCAATCTCCAGAACAATATGATATACCAATATACACGCTCTGCTCTACTACTATCAGGTCTTCCTGTTTCCCCTACCGTCCTCGCCCTTGCCGAGTTAAAACGATTAGTTTAAAGGCTCTCTGATTTTGTATATTTCTACCAAGATCACAAATTTTTGCCGTTTTTTCTCTACAACAATTATGACTGCACCAAAGCTATTAATAACAGTAACAATAATAATGACAATTACAACAGCAACAATAACAGCAAAAATAATAAAAACAACGTACAAAAAACCTACTCGACTTTTTTGCATTTTGTTTCTTTTTCAGCTCATAGTTTCATCATGATTAGTTGATTGCTGACAAGCCATTTATACGTATCAGTGACATCGATTAGCACCGATAAACATCAACTAGTTCTGGGCAAAAAAAATATAGCAAAAAGGATGAAGAAAAAAACATTAGAGGAAGAACTCTAAACCAAAGCCCAAATTGAAATTACATTCTTCGTCTGTGATGATAAGCAAAAGAAAAAAAAAAAAAGGAAAAACGAAATGAGAAAGACGTGAGGAAAAAACGCTCAATTTATAAATATATGCAACAGATAGATTTTTTTCTCCTTGATGATCCGATAAACAAACTGGTATATTTTCAATGAACAAATTCTGAAAACACGTAAAAAACTCGATGAAGTAAACATAATTAAGACTGTGGTTTTCTCCAGCTTCTTTTCATTTTTCTTCTTTATTTTGAATTTTGTAAAAAAAATCTGTCCATGAATACCATGGAACAATGTAATGAATATATTTTTCGCTAGAAAAAA